TGAAAATAGATGGCCTTTGCTTTGACTGTGTGCATTAGCATTTTAGCTGAACTGTAATTTCACCCCTCAGGGCACCCGATAGGCGGGAGAAAAAGCTCAGGGCTTGAAACACTCACTCCAGTGCATCTGGAGGCAGTGTTTGCCTCCAGCTGCCAGGCCGATGGACAGACTCAGAACGTGGGTTTCCTTGGTGTGAGGTCGTGAAAAGTTTTCGAAAGCTGATCTTTAATTCGTGTGTGTGTGTACATCTCATCTCCTTAATTAGTTTGTGAATACCACGGGCCAAACACAGCAATGGTTTGCTAGACTCGGAGCAGTCTTGGGGTCCATTCATTCATTCACTCCTTCAACGCACACTGTTCTGAGCCCCTCGTCTGTGCCAAGCACCGCTCTCGTGCTGGGATCCGGCAGTGAACATGGTGGACAAGCTTGCTCCTCTCCCGGAGCTTACATTCTGATGGGACAGGGCACACACACAGACTGATAAACAGGCCGGCACTTTTCCGAGCTCACCTCCTAAGCATCCAGCCGGTGTGCCTTGAGCCACATTGCGTGAGGCCGCTAGGTCGTGGGAAGTTTTGGGTTTTATGTTAAGGGTAATGGAAAGCCGCTGGAGGGTTTGAACCAGGGAAGGTATTTGCTGGGACCAGGTCACACTGACGGCTGTGCAGAGAGGGTCATGGGGGATCGAGGGTGAACTCAAGGAGATGGGCAGAGAAGATGGTGTACATGGAGCAAAGGGAGAGGATTGAGTACGTTTTAGAACAGGGCTTTCAGTAGCAGCGCCACTGACATTTTGGGCTGATCTTTCTCTGTTGGGGGGGGGGGTGCTGTCTCGTGCATCGCAGCATTCCTGGCCTTTGACCTTTACTTTCTAGATGCCAGTAGCACCTCCCTCCAGTTGTGACAACCAAAAATGACTTTGGATATTGCAAAATGGCCCCCTTGCCTTGGAGAACCATGTCTATCCAGTAGACCCGACAAGACTTGCTGATGGGTTGGAGATAAGTGGGCAGGTATAGACATGGGATCGTGAGGGTTGTAGTGGATGGAGGACTGGTTTTGACCTCTCACTCTGGGCTACACACTATATTACTCCCTGGAAGGGCAAATGCAAGCATAACCCAGCATGACACCCGATTTCAAAAAGGAAACTGGTAAGGCTGGCAATCAAGTGTTCCCACAAGGAAGTGTAAAATGGCAGCATGGTAAGTACAGCAAAGAAGGGATGTAGATACTAAGCAGGTGTATGAAGGGTTGGGAGGAGGATGCGCCAGCCTGGGAGGAAAGAGAAGGGTTCTGCAAGAATGAATAATTCAGGGTAAGGTGGCATTAACTAGGCTTGGAGAAGGATGTTTCAGGCAGAGGGCACAGCAGGTGCAAAGGCCCTGTGGTTGGAAACATCATAGCACATTTGAGGAATTGAAGGAAGGCCAGAGAGTCAAGAGAATGTGGGGCCAGATGGGGGAAGATGATGTCAGGGGTGGGGAGTTTGCCCAGGGCTTCACAGCCATGTTAGGGGACTTGGTCTTTCTCAAGGGCAATGGGATGTCCTTGGAGTGTTTGAAGAAAAGTTGTGGCAGCATAGGGCTTCACTCTGCCTGCAGGGAGGGGGCAGACAGGAGAGGCTGAGTGAGGCACTGGACAGGAGGCTCCTGCCGGAGTCAGGGTGAGCCGTGGGCAGGGGCTTGGACCCAAGAGGGTGGGTGTAAGTGTGTGGTGCGTGGGGGAGGCGTAGGTGCAGAAGGATGGACCTGGCAGGTCTTGCTGAAGCTGGGATTCTACGGCTGAGGTGCCTATTCCAGGCCTGACCCCGCGTTCCCTACATCGTTCCCTACATCGTGTCCTAGCCACCGGCCTGCCCCTCAGAGAGCTCCCACTTAACACAACACTGAGAAAGCCCTCCCACACCCACACCGCGGGGCACTGCCCAGAATTTCAGGGCCGGGACAGATGGAGAGGAGTCTCTACCAGCCGGAGGGGCCCAGGCTTGAATTCCTCCACGTGTCAGACACGGACTCTCACTCCTTCAACAGACGCTCACCGCGCAGCAGCTTGGGGCCAGGCGCGGAGCTCAGGGCCACCCGGGCGCCGACTCGCGCTGTCCCCCGAGCTTGGACTCCAGGGGCCTTGACTTCTCGCCCAGCAAAGCGACTCGGGGTCGGGGGGCAGGTGGCTGGGCCGCAGCCAGGGGGCACATTTGTACCCGTGGGGGCCGCAGCTGAGCCCTGGCAGCCCCCAATCTCCCTCCTCCCCCGGCCCCCCTCCTCCGCGGCTCAGCTGCTCCTCTCCCCGAATACTCGGTTCCTATTTACAGAGCAGCCCCGCCAGAAGCTGGCTCCATACTTCTCTTCCCACGGGAATCCCCTCATCCGCTGACACACGGCCCCTTTCTCAAAAAGGACTAGAAGAGAGACCAGCCCCAAGGCCCTTCTGCCTTTTGACCACCCCGGGCTGGGGCTCAGCAGATCCCAGGGCTGTGGTCTCCCTCCGAGCACTCACACTTCCTTCGTGGGGCGCTCTAACGCTTCACTCGGACTCACTCCTCTCCGGGGCCCTCTGGCGTAGGCGCTCTTCTCATTTCCTTATGCAGGTGGGGAAACGGAGGCACCGGGAGGCCCAGGTCACTCACCCTGCTCGCCGGGGGACGCCAGGCAGCGTGGCTGCAGACTTTGCCCTTAAGGGCCCCCTATGTTGCCTCTCCAAAGCCAGATGCACGGGGGCGCAGGGTGCGGGGGGCAGGGGTGCAGGGCGGGTGAGAGGCCGGGGTGCGGGGCAGGCGGACGCAAATGGGGCCTGACTCGCAGGGGCGGCCAGGATCGGGCACGAGCCCAGCCGGAGGCTCACCTGTGTCACAAGGGGCAGGGGCGGGGGCGGGGGCGGGGGGCGGGGGGAGAGGCAGGGGAGCAGCAACCCTCCGGGGCGGGTTATCCAGTCCTGCCGGGTCTGCCTGGTGCTCGCTTAGGCCGTCCCCTCGGCCCCCTCCTCGATCCCGCGGGGCCTCTGGGGTCGCCCCGCCGGGTACATCACGCGTGGCTGCTCGCACCCTGCAGGTCCCTGGCTGCTGCTGAGGATGCTGCTCGGTGCAGGACGACCCAGCGGGCACCATTGCGCGTCGCGGTCAAGGCAAGGCAAGAAAACGCAGCGCGGAACCAGACGCGGGGAAGCTGAACCAGCCCCGGGGGGCAGGGGTGGGGAGAGTGGGGGCTGAGGGCTGCCCTTCTGCCTCCTGCCGTTCTAGGCAATGTGCGCCCGAGGCAGGAGCCGCAGAGATGTGTAAAAGTGACCAGCCCAGAGGGAAGTTCAGGGCCAGCCCAGGGGCCAGCCACCGAGGACCCCTCGTTCTTCCTCAGTAATTGTCCCACCAGTGCTCCCACTGGCAGCCGAAAGCCCCTTAACTTCTGGAGGTTCAGGTGAGAGCACGGCAGGCCGGGGACGGGACCTTAATCCAGTGGACACGAGTGCTCGGGACCCCACTCAGTGGGCTGGGAGCAAGGCCTTGAGGAAAGAGAACGCAGGACAGGCAAGTGTGGATACGCTGGGAGGGGACAGAGAGGCAGCCGTGGGACAAAGCCCTGAGCCTGTGGGGAGAGCAGCCCCCCAAAAGAAGGCGAGGAAGCAAGCAAAGGCGAACTTTGCCAAGGCTGACCCTCAGCATTTAGACTTAGGATTATTGTTACTGGCTTTTTCTCTCTTTTTTTTAAAAGATCTATTTATTTTTCAACTAACATCTTTTTTTGTTTTGTTTTTAAAATCAATTAATTAACATATAGTGTATTAGTGTCAGAGGTAGAATTCAGTGATTCATCAGTCTAACACCCAGTGCTCATCACATCACGTGCCCATCCGCCAGTTACCCCATCCCCTCACCCTCCTCCCCTCCAGCAACCCTCAGTTTGTTTCTATGATTAAGAGTCTCTTATGGTTTGCCTCTCTGATTTCGTGTTATTTCTCCTTCCCTTCCCCTATGTTCATCTGTTTTGTTTCTTAAACTCCAGGAGTGAAATTGCATATTTGTCTCTCTCTGACTTACTTTGCTCAGCATAATACCCTCTGGTTTCATCCACGTTGTTGCAACTGGCAAGGTTTCATTCTTTTTGATGGCTGAGTAATACTCCAGTGTGTGTGTGTGTGTGTGTGTGTGTGTGTGTGTGTACACATCAGATCTTCTTTATCCATTTTTCTGTTGATGGTCATCTGAGTTCTTTCCATATTTTGGCTATTGTGGATACTTATTTATTTTAAAGGGGGAAGGGGAGAGAGCGAGCGAGCGAGCAGGGGGAGGGGCCGAGAGAGAGGGAGAGAATCTCAAGCAGACTCCCTGCTGAGCACAGAGCCTGATGCGGGGCTCGATCTCACCACTGGGAGATCATGACCTGAGCCGAAATCAAGAGTTTGATGCTTAACCAACTGAGCCACCCAGGCGTCCGAGCTTTTACTTTTTTTCGAGACTAAGAGTGTTGAGTGTCAAGACTCTGGATGTTTTGGAATGTTCCCTACCTGTTTCACATTTAAAAATTACCCCCAATTTTTCACCTATGAATAAAATAAATCCAGGCTGAAGGCTGTTGATGCCAGGAGCGGTGGCAGCCCCGGAGCTGGGTGCACAGCGTGGCCAACAGGATGGACAGCGTCCTCATCAGTTGCTGTGTCCCCTACCGTTTGGGAGCGAAGAACGGAAGCTCCCGGCAGGCAGCCCCACCCCGGTGTCCCGCTCCCCTTCTCCAGCACATTCCTGGCACCTGTGCCCACCTCCTGGCCCCCAGCAGGCGCTCTGTCAAGGGCTGATACAGGAACGAGGGAGTGAGCTGAGGCTCCTTTATCCCGGTAACTGCTGGGATTTCAAATCAAAGCACAAAGCATTTTAAGAAAAACCAGCGTGAACTTAAACGGAGAGGCATGCGTGGACAGAAGATCCCGAGTGGAATGCTGGTGGCACGGCTGCTGAATAATTGCGATGCCACAAAGAGACCAAGCAAACGAGACCGAGGACACCGAGGGATGATCATTATGTTTATTCGTACACACTTGCTTCCAAACTACAATTAATGTATCTAACAAAGCATATCATGCAAACAAAGATCAGAGGTTATACAAATTGAGGAAAGCAGCGCAGTAATGTATACATCCATCTTGCCTGCTTTAAACCAAATGTTACTGGACAGTTGAATGGCCTCTACATTTTGTCAGAAGGTGATTATACAGAAGGAAAAACCTCAACCTCCATCTCTTCATCTTCCTCCTCCGTACAGATTTGGGATCTTATACGATGTTTTCCAATGAATGATTTAAACATGACATGTCCTTCACACACACACACACACACACACACACACACGCACACTTTCTCTCTCTCTCTCTCTCTTTCATGGGGCAAAAGCAATGAATTCAAATGTCTCTGACCATCTAGAAAAGATATTCTGAAAGACCCTGATAGAAGGGATAGGAGGTGAATTTTCAGACCATTTAGACTCAAAAGAATAACTTCCTTCATGGATGATTTTGAATAGTCCACTGATCCCCTTAAGAACCCCATTCTTCCAGGAAGAATATCAACAAAAATCTATGAACAATCACAGGAATAAATACTCCTAAAGTTAAGCAGAGGAGACAAAGACACAGTTATTTAATCAGAAAATGCAAAGCCACCTTTTGTCTTATTTTAGAAAAAAAAAAAAGGTTCTTATAGACTTGACAGTTTCTGAAAAGTAGGGTTCTGTCTACTCACATAAGAGAGAATTTGGAGACAGATGCCCTTGGAGTGTTTGCTGCTGCCTCTTCTTTCTTGGGGATATTGAAGCATATCTGAATTGCCCAATGGACAAAATCCTTACAGGGCACCTCTGAATTTTCACTGAGTGTGAGCCTTGGGGGACCTGTGGGGACTGGAGACAGAGCTGAGGAAGTGCCATGCCTCCCAAGCCAAAAGGTGGTCACAGAACCTCACAGAGCAAGGAAAGGGATCCCAGGGACCCCAGGGGAATGCTATCCTAGGGCTGCATCTGGAAGGGGAAAATAAAGCTATCTTTCCTATGGTCCAAAAGCTTCCAGACCTTGGATGGTTGTCCCCAGTGTGCCTCAAAAACATGGAGGGCATCAGTCTGCCAACACGTTCCACCTGAATTTCCAGCTGTTCTGATGTGGACTTCATATACCACGGGCATCAGGAAATCCTGCAGTGGGAGTGCAGGTCAGGGGCGCTCTAGCTGACCCCAGCTGAGTTCTCCTACAGGCTCCATGGGATTGGAATCTTATCAAATTGTCAGTAGATTTATTTTAAAAAAAGAATTGAGTTATTAAAGTTCTCTATAAAAAAGTACAAATAGCCCAGTATACTGTTGTTCTATTGGAATTAACTAATTTCTTCCTTAAGGTTTAAAAAAAGGTCTTTGGAACTTATGGGCCTTAGTGTAGGGTCATTGTAAGGCTGTTTGATGACTGAGTTTGACCTACACAATTATCAACTGACACCTGATCATGCAGATCAGAAGCACAGGGGTCCTAGTCATACATGATTTTAACCCTCCCAGAGTCCCTGACATTAGAAAATGAACAGGATTGTGGTTGACACCATTTCTAGATGCCTTCACTCACTATAACTCAGGTAACCTTCCCCAAGTTCCTGTATCTTCCGAAGCAGAAATATACAGCATTCCCTAGATTTTGTCTCATCGGCCCAAATGGGAAATGACAGACATGTTTACAGTCTGGTATATTCCATAAGATGTAATCCAAGCAACTCAAGGAAAAGGTTTTAAAAAACAGTTTCCCACTTGTCACTTTAGCGTGTGGTAAGAACCAGAGTGCCCTTTTCCTTCACTGGAACTAACTGTCTTGGCCTCGCTGCTCCTCTCTTAACGACCATCATCCTTTGGGTCCCCAGGTCAGCGTCTCCTTCCTGATGATGACTAGTGTGCTCAGTGGGGGACCAGGCACTCCTGCCCTTGCTGGACTTAAAGAGACAGGAAATGGTGTGATATGCACACACAAGAAATAGGTGACTTCGTAAGACCAGAGTGAGAAAGTGACTGTCAGTTGGTGTTGCCTTTCTGAGGCATTAAAAATATCAGACTCTCACTTTCTCTCCCTCTTCAGTCCTGAGAAAATGAATCCCTGCAAAAACCCAGATTTCTCCCACTAAGGGCAATCAGGTGGGGACTGGAGTGTTAGTTCCTTCCGCCACTTCTCCATCTGTCCCCGGCCGCCATCGTTCCCAGCAGGAAGCCACAGAGGAAGGCGGGTGGGAACCTACTGGCTTCCGGTGCACGCTGGATGGTTTGGCTCTGCCCAGAGAACTGTGAGCCACCTCAAGGCAGGCAGGGGCAGGGGGGCTTCCAGTGGCCGCTGAGGATGCAGTTGGCCTTCACGGGATGCTTTTTGAGGAGGTCTAGACTGTGTTCCTGGCAACAAACTTGCTCTCAGGGACCAGCAGGAGGTGGATATCAAATGCACCAACAATCAACGACGCAAAGCCACTGGAAGTGGCAGTAGCTTCCTTCCCGAGGTGCCCTCTCCTTCCTTCCACACCCTCCTACCTTCTTCCTCCTGCAAGCATCCTTCTGGATACACTCAATCCCTGCTCTTCTTTAAACGCCTTATAGACCTCAGCCTCCACCGACCTCTCCCCTCTCTGAACACCAACGGGTAGCTCTCTTGGGTCTACACCCTCGTTCCAGCAAGTACGTCAGCTCGTCAGCTCACTCTGCTGAGGACTGCAGCTCAGAGAGGTGCTCCACAACCCTTGGCTGGTTGTCTCAACTGTGTTCTTTCATCACCTTTCAACTGACCATCTCAGGTCAAGTTTCCAAAGTGCCCTAAACGCTCTGATTTTCGGCCAACATTCCTCATAAGAAAGCCTGACACATCTCATAAGACAAAACAGACGGAGACTCTGCATTCACTGGCACCAGGTCGTGGGGATCAAAGAGAAGCAGGTGTGAAAAGCAACCACTGCCTTTTGAATTAGTTCCTGCCTTTAGTGAACTGCCCATTAACCTCTGAGGGCTATACCTGGCTGCGCACTCTAGATACTTCCATCGAAACTGAGCATCTAGCCTCTTTAGACAAGATGCCAAGAGAGGGGCTGCCAACCCATTGGCCTGCAGCCTCAGAGCCAAGTTCTGCTGCTGAGTAGCCCCCACCGTCCAAGAGAAAAGAATGCAAGCCAACGTGAATGGCCCTTCAGAGTCTCGGGCCATAGAGTCTGGCAGAGAAGCAGACTGTGCTAGATGCTGCCTGGGCCCTGGACCTCCACAGGCCCCAGTGATATGGGCAGCACTTGGGGGCTGAACTTCAAGAGTTCAGGTGTTCTCCTCATTCCAGCTGACAGCTTCCCTGTGGTTTTCACACAATGCCCACGAAGTGGGACTGCACCAGAGAACTGTATAGATCGCTGCTTTTGTAAGCTGGCCTAACAGTTGGTCTTGGTCACCTACACCGTTTATTCTTTCAGAAATAACCATCCTGGGCTGCTCAGACCTTGACAACATTAGCCTTTATCTGAATCTGGTACAAAGCCATGCACCAAACAGGGCACATCACGGTGATACTTCAGCAGGTCCTGAGGTTTACTGTCTTCCCCCCAAGTTTGGCCTCAAGCCTTCTGTCCCTCAGGCTGAGCGCAGGGCCCCACAGCCAAGAGATTTTCTTTTAAAACTCTGCCACACATTCTGAAAGAACACAAGCCAGCTGAGATGCTGAATATGTTTCCTGGAGAATTATGAATAATTTGGAAATGTGTTGGCTGGGTGAGGGAAAGCCTGAGACTGTGGCTGGCTCAGAAACAAGCAGGTGGCATGGGGCTCGGGAACCAACGGTCCGGAACCCCCCATGTGTTCTTTTCTGAGGCTTTCCTCACTGCCTGGGGCTTGCTGCGGGCTGGGCTGGGGTGGGGGGTGTTTCCATCCTGCTGCTGCTCCATCCAGGGGCAGGGTGACCGTCTGTTTTGTTTCTTAGGCTAATTCCATAAACTGGTCCCTTTTCTACTGACCAGCAGGACTGTGGCCCTGGGTGTGCTGGGGCCCTTTCTGGGTTCTGACATCTGCAGCCCATAAAAGAATGCAGAGGAAGTTGCTCTTTTTGGGGCTGACCCACTGCCTACCCCATCTCTTCCCCTAATCAAGGGTTCCCAGGGCGGACCAGGCCTCTCAAACTCAAAGACCCTTCTGTGATTGTGTGTTACATGAATTTCAGGCAAACAGCCAGAAAGTAAAAATGAGGAGGCGCGTAGCTGGGAGACGCATTTGGGGCACAAGGGGAAATAGAGCGGCCCCATAAGACCTGATAACTGCTTCCATGTTGGGTGTTTTTTCTATCGTAGGAGGCTGGCTTCATCGAGGAACTTGCGTCAGCACTGTGTTTCACCATGGAGGCGCTCCTCACAAGACTGGAAAGGCTGGTTCTAGCAACAGGTGGAAGAAGATCTGCAGCTTCTAAAGAGTCTGTGGATAGTGCCAGGGGATGGCTGTGCCCAGGGGGGCTGCTGGACTGGACGGTTGTCTCACGAAGTCTGTATGTGCTGGAGCAAAGGGCGAGTCGTTCCGGGGGCAGCAAGGTGGACAGTGTGCTTCTGGTGTGTTCGCACACACATAGCAGGAAGGGCGTCTTCCTGCCCCTCCCACCCCGAGTCACTAACAGTAACAAGGCTGAAAAGGAAAAACCAAAGTCCAGCCCAGGGGCTGTGACAACATCACACCTACACAAACATACTAGGTAGACTGGAGTCAAACACTTCCTGCTGTCCCCAAGAGGAAGAGTGGCACAGGAGTGGAAAATAGTGCTGAGGAGCTAGGAGAGAGTGAGTGTCATCTCGGAAATAATCCCCGAAAACAAAAACTTTTGTTTGCAGGTAGAATCAAATATTTATATATATATTTATATATATATAAGCCTAACTGATCATGTAAAATAGCCATTCATTTCAAAATTAGATCTACGATAAAAAAATTAATATATCCGATACAGTGCCAATGTGCAGGGTACCCGGGGGGTGGGGGTGAGGGGAGAGGAAGCACGCAGCAAGGAATTAAGCGAAAGCTTAATCATAAAAGCAGATTAGAAACAAGAGCCTTCACAAATATAGCACAATTGTGTCTTATAAAATTATTATAATACTCTCTTTATACTTGATACGATTATATCAATAATATAGATTCACTTGTTATTAAGGTTTATTATAAACATGCAAAATTCATTGCATGATGCATTTGCAAAACATATTAAAATCCTTCTAGCAATAAAACATCTTTGAGCTGATGTGCATCCAGGTTTTCCTGATTCTACAGCTTCAGGTGTGTCATTCAACATGAACTGGAAATGGGGACCCAAACTGTATTGGTTTTCATCTCTTAGCGGATGTCAAGGGCTGGACATGGGAGGAAAATCGATCAATGGAGACTTATGCTATAGTTAACACTCTGCTAAGTTACTGTACACCGTACTCTCATGAACAACACCGCAGCCTAGTAAATAAATAAGTACAAAAGGGGATGGGGCGTACACTTCAGCTTCTGAGGAAGTAGGTAGCAAAATATTGGTTGGAGGGTGGGGGTTGGCTAACAACACTCGTGAGTAGTGGCATGATTGCTGATGGCACCCTGGATCACAGAATAATCTCCCAGAGATTAAAATGAACATACATACACACTGGTTTATCCTTGATCTGAAATGATTTCACATGCTCATTTAGCAAAGTCCTTAGAAGATTTGGCCTCTTAAAAAGAAATGCAAGTATTAAGATAATTATCAACCAAATAGGAGAGTTGACAGGTTCACCCAACGTTCATCTGAGGTTCACTCTCTTTTTGAAGACCAGTAATCACTGGACCGTGACTGGTTTAAGACTGTCAACGTCTGGTAACAGTGAGCTTGCAAATGACTCACTGGTGGGGACATGATTCATCTCGGCCTCTTGAATTCTAGGGACTGTTTCCACTGAGGCAGAGAACAGAAGCAGCGGGTATTTCAAAGCCTCCCCCACCCCCCACCTGGCTCACATACTGGGCTCCCCGTTCTTTTGTTCCAAAGATGTCTCACGGGGAGAGTCACTGGCCCCGGGTCAGGTTCATTTTAACATCTCTGGTTGGGGGATCCCAATGGTGGAAATTGACAGAGGGATAAGGAAAATATATTAAATCGTACCAAAAAAGGGGGAGAGTTTGTTTGCTTTCTAGGAAGGGTTAACCTACAGGCAGATATGACTTCTACATAATTAAACTGGACACTGTACATTATACCATCTTCCACTAAGATAATGTTCTTGGTTGTAAGAGAGAGACCCTAAACAGTTACTCACATTTGGACTAATAACCCTAAAATTTTCAGGCCCCCCGATCTGGAACAAGAGAAAAGGCCATGGCCTTAAAATTTTAGGGTTAAGGATCCCTTCCCACTGTTGGGGGGCTGGGGGCTGGGGAGGCGTTGGTTCTCAGTGGTGACTTTCATACTGCGCTCTGCAAGATGGGGTGCACAAATTGGGGGTTGACATACGAGAACCCCTCGAAATCAGACTGGTCTATGTTAGCAATGACCAGCTGATCAGGTGGTGTTAAGACAGGCTGCCCTCGTGTGAAGAACTTGTCAAAGTTTTCTGCACCTTTGCCACACTGCGGAGAAGAGAGAAAAAGAAGGAAAGGTTAGTAATCATTGCAAAGCACAGGGGGCAGCTCTCTGAGAGGGCTCTGCAGGGAAGAGCGTGGCCCGGGGAAATTGGGACTGGTCGAGGCAGGAAGAATTCTGGAGAATCTGCACACCTACTGGATTCCAAAGCCAGCCACAGCAAACAATAACGCAAAGTCACTCGGTTGTAAACCCTCAATTGCCCTTGGAACCTAACCCCTCCGTGGAGAGGCACTGCTGATAGTAAAGGCAGCAGCAAGGACACAGCCTGTTTTATGTCACTTCCACTTCACAGAGCAAGTGGGCTATGGGCATGATGCCACACTCACGGGGCCACCAGTCACGGTCCATGTTGAAAGGCCAGGATGTTGGGTGCGAATGCAGACAGCGACCTCTGAACCGAGAGGTTGAGATTTCTGTCCCACGTGTGGTTCTTTGCAACCATAATTGTAATAAAGTAAAAGCTGCGTTATTCTTGCAACTGGAAAGTTCTAAAAACCTCAGTCTCTAATCTTCCTTTGGGTACCAATATTGAAGTAGGGGTGGTGGTAAGGTTGGGACATTCACCCTGGGGCCCGGCTGGGCTTCAGCATATCTAGATCTATCTGGTCACTGGCAGGTCGATACGGAGTTCCCTCGCAGGTGGTCTCAGGCTGGAGGGGTTTTGCTTGGGTGCCCCGAGCAAGGGAGAGCAGTCTCCAATCTGTCTTAGATATTCCTCTCCTCCGGGTCCACTGGGGCACTCAACACAGACAGGGCTGCAGGCAGAGCTGCCCTGTTAGAGGCTCTGAGAAACAGGGCAGCATGCACAGCACCGCTTGGGAGCCTGGCCCCAAATCGGGGGGAAGGGGTGTCCTCACTTTCTCAGCCGCTCAGGAGGGTTGTGGCATGTTGAAGTCCCCAGGACCCCAAATGACTCTGGAACAGGGAATGCTGGGGTTACACTGGTGATACAAATCACATAGTATTCTACATGTTGCAAATGATCACCCTTCTACCTGCTGGTATCATAGGGTGACCTGAACCAATGCCGAGTTAGCACAACTTCACACTACCCAGGCATCCCTGGATCTTTAACAGAGGATAGCTCTAGGTACACTGTAAAGGGGGGGGGGGGGGCGAGGGGGTCCATCCCACTCCCTCGAGTGTAAAGGGGGCAGAAGACCCATGCCCCCTCCCTGGGCTGCTATGAGGGTTAAGGGTGCAGTGTTTCGCATAGACCCCAGCATGCAGTGAGAGCACAAGGATTGCTGTTATTTTTGTAAGGCCAGTTTAGTCTCACAGACCGTATTCCCACTTCCTCTTTTACATCTTTCCCATCTTCTAGAAGGTTTCCTTGAGAATCTAGCTTCACTAGGCTTTCCCCACCCTACTCCTAAGGCACGTGGTGAGTTCAAAAGTAAGGTCTTTCATAACTGACAGCTTCCCTTTCTGGGGGTGCCTTCATTTTCATGAGCGACCACCCACTCCTAATTGGGGAGAGTCCATACCAGGGGATTGTATGGGGCCCTGACAGCCTCTCTATGGAGGCCATCCTATTGGCCCTGCTCGTCATGCGGGCCCTGCCTCCCGCAAGTGAGATGGTGCAGTTGTATTTGAGGAGGATGTCCTTTGGGAACTTGGTTGATCAATGCCCAGGGCCTGGAAGATTTCAAGTGCACTTCAAGTGCACTGTAGGTGCTCCCAGAGGCTGGGACATTTGCTCCCTTAGAAAGAGATCATTTGCATTTCTTTTGCTATTCACTAAACATGCAAAGATGAGCAAGAAGGAACTTCTGGGAAAAGTCTCTAAAAGGAAGAGGAAGATGAGCCAAGGCAAAATGTGTCTCCAACCATCTGACCCTAGATTTGTTGAACTGTTCTGGCACAGGTCTGACCTTTTCTTTGGGTACCATCTTTAGGGCATTCACAGATCATCTTCTAATGGGAAGTTCCAAAAGCCATGGCTTAACTGCCAAATGAATCAACAAAAAACTAGAAGAAGAGTCCCCGAGATCTAAAAAGGGGACCACATACACATCAGCACCGAGAAGCCTGGGGATGGGGCTGGATGCTCAAGGACATGAAATTCTAGAACTGCTGTCCTGGGGAGGGTTACTCTTAAAGGCTGCCACAGCTTGTGAAGCTAAATGTGGTAACACACGGGGCAGAAACCCTCGCTGCTTCAGGCCTTGTGCTGTGCGGGCTGCCGGCCCAGACTAAGGGGGCTCGCAGAGACCAGGCCAGTCCAAGCCGATCACACCGCACGGGAAGAGGACTGCTGGTCTCAGAACTGCTCACTACCAGGAGCCTCTTCCTTTTCCTTCCCACTCTAACTTGCTCTGGAATGTTCCCTGATCCCAAGGAGAGAGAAATCACATTCCAGCAAAGGAAAGCCTTTCTTAAAACCGATTCACTGAAGTGAAGGGACAAGATAAAGTTTTCAACAAGCTGTTGTATTTTAAACATAGAAAAGATTCTTCCTGCTGTCTGTGGGCCAACCTTACTCATAATAATCGTCTTGTGGGCAGTGGGACTCGGGCGCCATCTTGGATGTGAGAGGGAGCAAGAAGAGACACAGAGACTGAAGGGTTCAGGGGGCACCGGGTGGTACCTGTGAGTGAGTGAGTGAGCGAGCGATGGTGGGGGTGAAGAATGAGGCTGGCCAAACTCCAGACATCCTCTCAACCTTCCTCCGGGATGATTCAAGAAGGCTATTACCGTGGTCACCAGGAGGGCAGCCTCCACCGCAGTGTGGGACAAGAGGCAGGCTTGGGTTGGCCATGGCCTCAGAGCTCTAGGCCACCTGCAGCTGCAGGCAGCATTTGCTACTTGAGAGCAAAACCCCTTGGCGGGGCATACACTTTCTTCACATCCAAAGGCCACCCACACCTGTCACCAAGGGAGGCTTTTGCCATCTGGGATGCAAAGTACCACATAACTGGTGTGGGACAAAGATGGAAGAGAGGAGGGCAGCAGGGGGCAGCCCAAACCTGGCTGGGCCAGTGTGTAAGCCCAGAAAAGTTCCTCTGGTACTCCCTGAGAGCAGACACCCGAGGGAAAATGGGAGGTACAGTGGGGTGAAGGACCCATCAGAGGTCAAAAGTCCAGGGTACAGCCTTTGGAAACTCACCGCACCTCTTTGTAAAGATAAAATGGGGATGTGAACGTCCAACTTCCAAGGCTACTGTGGGGATCAAAGGACTGAGAATGTGTGCAATCCCTTCTAAACGATCAGGCATGATACGACCTAAGGCATAACGCATACCCAGCATGTAAAAGGCATGGGATTAACATGTGAGGGATGAATGAACACTATTAATAATCTACCTGCCTTACTTAGCTCTGGATTCGGGACATACGTCCTTTGTTGTTTTGACATTCCTACCCATTTGGTAAACTCATCAATTAATAAAATGAACCTAGGAGAAATCAGGCATGGTAAAGATGGGACAAAACATAGGAAGATGCAGACTCCAGGTGGACTTTGGGATCACTGCGCTCCCCATCCAGAGCCCTGGGCAGCACACGGTCCACTCGCCACCCTGCACACCCTGTCTAAGGGCTATGGGGGAGAGACAGCCTGCCCCGCGCAAGTCGGCTTCTCACGGTTCTTACCTGGGAGAGGCCACCGAGAATGCACAATACATGTGTTGGTTTCAATCCTGTCCTTTACCTTGGTGTCTCAGTCATGTAGAATATAACCCCATGGTCACTGGTATGGGAATTAGGGTGAGTATGAGTAGCTCGAAAACATTGCCATTACAAAGCAAAACCAAACCAAACCCAGAGGAGCAGGCAGAGTGTGGAACCAAGTGAGAGTAAAGGCGTGTTGCAAGATGAAGGAGAAAGGGAACTTATAGAGGTGGGAAATGTCTCTGGCTATTGCCAGATGTAGCAGGACCTGCTTCATCTCAGGGTACCCCGTATTTCAGTCCCACTGTGTGGTGGTCCTAGTGCAGTGTTAGTAGGAACCCTGCTGACATCTGTGCACGGCTTTCTGACTCGCGGTTGTGCACTGACTTCATTTAGCTCAATAACCAGCAGCAGAAATGAACGGGAATATTCTGCCTTGAGCCTCTTGGGAGGTCATGTCCACACCATGGGACCATCCAGTGAGGGGCCTAAGGCCCCAGGCAGCAGCCCTTTCTAAGATCAGCATGCTTAGGGAATGGTCTTCCGTGCATGACCCAACACAAGCAGGAGCACACGCTTAGGGTTACAAAATGGGGTTAGTTTGCCCACTTAGTCACTCAAGGATCTGGAAATGTGCTCACCGAAGGCCTGGATGCCCACTGCAGCCAGTGCATTTTGGTACAGAAAGTCTGGAGAATAAGAACGGACAGAGGAGAGTATTTGGAAAAGAGTCAGTGCCGGTCCTGGGAACTTTAGAATCAAAATGGCCCATGTAAAGGATGCCACACACCCACACGGTCTCACGTGGAAACGTCTCCCAGATATATTGCCGGGTGAAAGGTACAAGGTGAACTATGGAACACATGCTACAACCTCGCTGTGGGTCTGATCACACACGCTCACAGCTTTCCAGAAGCTTACAGAAGAGACAGCAAATAGCGGGACCAGTGGTTGGGGTGGGGGAGATAACATCTTGTCATTTTGTATCCATCTTTACTTGCTTACCTATGTCACCACACAGAGCTAGTATTTTAATAATGACTTTTTAAAAAGGGATTAGGACCTCCTTCACCTCCTGCCAACACTACCTGTGGTGAGAGACTGGAGACAGGTTTTCGTTTCTCAAACAAAATTAAACACTGTTCACTGATCTCTTGCCTCGGAGCACGTCTCGGGAATCTGCGTGTCATCCTTGTGCAGGGGCCATGCTAAATCTTCTCCGGATCATTCCAATTTTAGTATATGTGTTGCCGAAGCGAGCACTAGGGGACACCTCCGAAAGGGCCAGTGCTGGTCCAGAGCAAGCTGGTTCTATTGATGGGTTTGTTGACAGACTCAGGCTACAAGCCACACATTAACCAAGTGGATTCTTGTAGGTGTCAGAGCCACGTGTCTAGGAGGGAACTGTCCTGGCTCATCCCGGGCTGTATCCTATGTAATAGAAACATGCACTCCATTTGGTCTGTCTTTATACCGATGGCCAGCTTTGGAGGATTCAAGGCTCCTTTTCCAAAACAAGTTGGTGTAATGACCATCGGTGTTGGAGACCTTCACTTCAGACAGCGGGAGCCTGTCAGTTCACACGCCGTGAGGCACATGGGCTGTGCACGTACCTTGTCCCTCACCACTGAAACTCCCTGAGGCTTGCAACAGAGCTACTTATTTATCTTGATTATTATTTTAAATGTCTCATATCTTCCCATTTCTCTTTCAAGCAGAAGAGCATTTGGGGCACCTGGGTGGCTCAGTCGGTGAAGCATCTGCCTTTGGCTCAGGTCATGATCCCAGGGTTCTGGGATCGAGTCCCACATCAGGCTCCCTGCTCAGTGGGAAGTCTGCTTCTCCCTCTCCCACTCCCCTTGCTTGTGCTCTCTCTCTCTCTCAAATAAATAAATAAATACTTTTTTTTAAATTTTTTTTAAAGAAGACCATTTGGGAGAGTAGTTGTCAAAGAATAGGCAGACTTCTTGCCTCTCATCAACCAAGTAGAAGCTGGCTTACGCTGGTTTAAATGCACAGATCACACCCGAGTACACCATGAGGTGGCAGACTCCAGTCTCCAAAGGTTGGTTAGTGTTCACATGTTGGTGGAGCGCCCTGAGTCTTGAGAATCTCTCACTTTTGTCAGTTCCTGGCACCACTGAACGGCCAAGAGAATGAACCTACCTGCTACCCAAGAGGATGATTACCTGCAGCCCAAGGCTGCCTACGGCACTGAACACTCAGACCAGCGCTCCAGGACCCTCCTCCTTCTACCTGGATGGCCGCCGCTCTGTAGAATGACCTTTTCAGAGTGATTCTTAAGAAGAGCAGTACCACGAGATGTCCTTGGTTTGAGGCAAGACACACGGAACAGGTAGGTGTAAAGAGGCATCACCTTTGCAACTTACATTCAATTGGTTCGAAAACAACAACAAAACCCCGCCTGTGTGTGTGTCTGCACACAGGCACACAGCGATGTAGAGAAAAACTGATAAAGCAAATGTGCTAAAATGTTAACATTTAGGGAATCTGGGTAAAGCGAATGTAGCAATTCCTTATGTTATTTTTGCAACTCTTCTGCAACACTGAAATTAGATGTTATTTCAAAATTAAATTTTTTCAAAAATTAAAAAGGCACACTGCACTGACTTAGATAATTACACCAGCATCAAACTTTCTAGACAAGCTAATGACACTGCGAAATGCCTTTTGCTTTACTGCACTCCGCAGACCCTGTGTTTTTTATAAATCGGAAGTCTGTGGCAATCTGGGATCAAGCAAGTCCAATGGCACTATTTTTCCAACTGCATTTGCTCACTTCCTGTCTCTAGGCCACGTTTTGGTAATTCTCACAATATTTCAAACATCTTCATTATTATATTTGTTAGGGTGATCTGTGATCAATAGAACTCACTAAAAGCTCAGATGATGGTTAGCATTTTTTAGCAACAAAGTATTTTTAAATGAAGGTAAAGGCCTTTTTTTTGTTTTTTTTTAAGATATAATGCTAGTGCACACTTAGTAGACTACAGGATAGTGTAAACATAACTTTTAGATGCATCGGGACACCCCCGAATTCATTGCCTCGCTTTACTGCGGCATGCACTTCGTCGTGGCCGTCTGGAACCAAACCCGCAGCCTCCCTGAGATACACCTGTAAAGAATTTCGGGGTGCCTGGGAAAATGAACTTGACCATGCAATCTCACCACCGTGGCACTTGTACCCACTGTTCCTGTTCTCTCTGGCTCTTGCCGCAAGGATGACAATGTCCTGATAAAAGTCATTTCTTCCCCCCTCTCTTTTTGATAAAATGAGGACAGTAATTTCCCCAGAAAGGCTCCCTGTGACAGATAAGCCTATTTCCAGAGTGCTCTGCTCATTTATCAACTCAGGAATATATTTCGTGGTGTTAACTTTATAGATTAATCTCTCTCTCTCTAATAACCACTTAAGTATTGTGAAGGTTTTTGGCTTGCCTGTGAACTATTATTCTGCTCTTTGGTGCCAATGGATAGAATTCAAAAAATGAAAAAAACCAATTAACTTTCCACTTCTAATGTTTGTATAAACTGTTATTTATTATGGGCAGGATGAATGGGAACTTGAAGGCTGTTCTCAGGCATTTTATTCACATGAATAATAAATCAGGGTAAAAGCCTACAAAATTCAAAGCGACACTGGATCAGAGTCTTAGGCTCATGTGGGCCTCGAAGGGCATACTCAGCCTTTGATTTTTCAGGCAAAGCAGAAAGAATGAGCTCTCCTTCCCTCCCTGGGTTCTCAAGATGCAGGGTCAAGTGGGCTTGGCTGTGCCATCTTTTTCCACGGAAACCTCCTATGTACCTGATGCTGAGGGAGGCAGCTCGGCCTCTCGCATTCCTCCCTCAGCAACTGAACATCAACCTTTTCAGGAGTGACATCTTCCTTAACCTTAAAAATAATAATTTAAAAAAAAGGTACTTTATGACATGGAATCTTCTGAACATTAATAAGCCTCTTTGAAGACTCAGGCTTGTTGTTCAGAACATTAGCCAAATGCTGAGCTGAGGGTCCTTGGTCTGTGGAACAGAGGCTCTTCCACTGTTGTGCTTTCTTTGAGAGAAAAAGGAAACCAGCTCGCTGTGTGCTTTTTTTTCCATAAAGAAGGAGAGAGAGTTATGAGAGAGAGAGAGCGCTCCTCTCCAGGAGACCATAACACAGCTGTTTTTGTTTTTGTTTTGTTTTACATAATCAACCAGTACATAAGTGATTGCCCCATCTTCTAGAAAACCATCCTCCCCTTCACAGTTGCACATGGCAGCCTTTTGGGGACATGGCTCTGCCAGGACTGGACTCCCCCACACGGGCTGCCTGGGGGCTGGTTCTCGCTTCCTGCGGGCTCTTCTTGGGGCTAGCACTTGTGTCTGGGATGTGCACCTCTGAGCCTCCAGACTCGCCACCGTCAGGGGAGACGGCCACAGCCCCACACACCTGATGCTGGCCACTCTCCTCTCTCCACTTTCCGTTGTGAGTGACTCCACACCGAATCCAGGCCGCGGTTGCACTGCAGGGCCTGACCTCACCAGCACCGTGAGGTGGAAAATTCTGTGCGGAGCCTCCTGATGGATTTGTGCATCATGAAATGTCTTTGGCAGTGGAATTTCACATTTTCTGTGGCCCTCTGGTCTAGCTTCAGTGATGTCACTTGGGAGGCAGGAAAATTAAAAAAAAAAAGAAAAAGAAAAGAAGACAGGACAAAATGGGAACTCTGGTTCCTCTGGATAAGCTCTGGGACTTACCTCTACTCTCTCAAGGAGGCTCGTGATTTTGGAGTCCGCTTTCATTGGAGATCCAAAAGCAAATTAAAAAATAAAGCCAAAGGAGACTCCAGAGCTGACGAGCACAAACGTGATCTCTAGAAGCACCCTGCAGATAGCTGGGGGTGCTTGAAGACTTCCTGCTGGCATTTGCAAGGGCCAAAGGCTTGACTTCCTGGGCGCCGGGAGGAAATGGTCCTCTCAGCCGCTAAATCTCAGGGAAATGGACTCATGGCACCTGCTGAAAAAGCCTCGAGCAAACTTCTCCAAGGCAGACCAGCTTCGCCAGCCAGGGCTCTGGGCTCCGCTCAGAGGGGAGGTGCTCCCCAGGAGGGGTTCGGCGCCGACGCGGGTCCAAGCCTCTGGCGGCAGGTGACGACGAGGACGTATTGCTCCGTCTTCCCTTTGAAACGACAGAACTGCCCATGGAACAATACTCAGCTCTGGATTTTATCTGTCCACTCTTTTGGCTTTTTAATTAGCCCTGGCTCAGAGCGCTACATTTTTCACTGAGAAAGCGGGGAAACATCACAGAACCCCTGGAATGGCGGCTGCACTGATAACTGGCGAATCGCGTGCAGCCTCGGTCACGGCCGGACCGAGACTGCTTTGCGCTGTTGGAAACGTGCTCTCCCGCTGCCCAGACTGTCCCTGGCGTGGGGTGTCTCCACTCCAGCGTGGCACCTCGGGGACAGAATGATGTCCAGGAGGCGATGGAGATGCCCCCTTCAGCCGGGATTAGGGGCCAAACTCTGCTGCTCTGCAGGCGGCGTGGTGGAGGCACTGGGGGACACCGAGCTCTCCCGGGGGGCCAGAACTTTCCGGTCGACCTCCTGCCCTTGACGCTCTTCGGCCCTGGGACAGAAGGTCTGCCGCTCACTCCTGCAGCTGCTTGCCCCTGACCCCGGCACCGCGTTGCGTCCCCTGCTGTCCCCTCCGCTGCCCATGGGTACGTTTTCCAGCTTCTCCCAGTGGGACACGGGCTCCGGCCTGGGAAGGCTCCCTGTGAGCAGGGGACATCCCCCCTTTCCCTCTGGCCACAGCTCTTGCCAAGCAGGCCCTTTGCACACAAGCTTCGGCGGTCCGGCCGTGCTCGGCGGTTCCGGCTTCTGTGTTGGAGTTCAGCGGCTGCTGTGAGGCAGAGGCCCTCTCTTCTTTCGTTTCATTCTAGCTCTTGCTCAGCTAAAAACACAAACAGCAGGACTCCAGGAATAAATAAACACGCACGCGCCGCTGCTCATGGCTCAACTGCCCGCCGCGGTTAGGACTCGGCTTCCGGTGATTTCCACGGCCCCTGGGGAACAGCGCAGTCAGATTCCGGGCTCCTGCACCCGAGTCACCCTCTTGTTCCACTACATCTGAATCTAGGGCCGCGGTGTCCACAGAAGGCGGGTGAGCATGCAAACAATCTCTTCGGAAGATGAGATGGGGAGACATAGAAGGAGAGGTGTCCTATGGTTGACTTTGTTCCATCTTGTCCCTTTCTGGAAAGTGACTGACAAGTACCTGTATTTTGCTTCACACCTAAAGCAGGGTCAGCGCGTTATCACTGCTGGTCCTCTACAGAAACTGAGCTGTAAGAGGCTACTGTGTGCCTTTCATATTTTAAGAAGGCTAAATAGGACAGGGGTAGAAGAAAATTCCTAATAGAATGTTCTGAGACTGTCTGCAGTGTTATCACTGCCTTCACGCCCCCAGCCCTTCTCCAAACCAGGCTTTGTACACTGACGGGAAGGATCCTGTGAAAACCCCCTGAGTCGGGGACCGGCTGAGGGAAGGTGGGGTGCAGACATGCAAGGGTCCTGCTGCACATGATGATTCAGGAGGGAGTCAACTGGCCTGATTCATTTTAGTTTTTTTTTCAGTTGGTGCTAAGAATACCTTGGAAGAGTAGAAGTGGTCTCCCCACCAGCAGTTTTATTCTTTCAGTAGAGGACACATAAGCATATTTGCATATCTGATGGGAGGTTACTGCTCTAAGAGCAAAGCTTGTGCCGACCGGCCAGGCACTCAGCCGCCCCGGGAGGGTCCCTTTTGCCTGCTCATAGGCACCTGCTGGGGGAGACAGGTGTGGGTGCTTCTCAAACAGACCGTGGGCCAGAACTGCTCTCGCTGTGGCCTTGGGGGCAGGGGCAGCATGGGCACCACCCAGAGACAGCAGCCGAGCTGGAAGGCACGGTCCACTGGCCCCCAGAGATGGGATCCGGGGGAAAGCGGACTCTCCGGGAAGCACTGTGAAGTGGCAGGTGGCGTGAGTGAGGAGCCCGATGTCTTAAAGACTCTCAGTTTACCTCTAGAGATAGAAACGTTAAGAAAGGCCAACGCTGGTTGCCACCAACAGTCAGAAGCCGGGCAGACGGCAGTCACTGAGGTGGAGCGATGGGTGTCATGGGGTAAGGACACAGATCCCAGGGCCAGAACACCACCTACCAGCTGCGTGTCTTCAGGCAAGATACTCAGCCTCTCTGTGCCTTAGTTGATCCACTGAGCAGCGTTGTTGGGAGGGTTAAATGAGCCAATTTGTAAAGAACAGGGCCTGGTGCATAGTGTTTGTGAAATTAACGGAAAAAATGCGGGTCACATGGGAGGAGTCTCAACAAAGGGGGCGAAGCCAGAACAGGCGTAGGGGGGGGCCCGACCCGTACTCCTGGCAGCAGGGGCCATGGCCAATGTGGGAAGCACAGCCAGGGCCTGCAGAAGAGCCGGCTGAGACCGAGTTAGGCTTCAGGAGCAAAGCAAACCCAGCAGAGCTGGACACCGATGAGACGTCCCGTCGAGGACCCAGAGCAGGGATCACAGTCCCGCCAGGCACGTGAGTCCACGAAGCCCGATCCCCACAGCCGACGCACCCTGGCACTCTCTCAGTTCTGGGGGGCACTCTGCAGCCCCCTGGCTGATGGGCACAGGCCCCCCATCCCTGCCTGGTCTGTGCTGACTCTGAAAGTCAGCAGGAATTCCGGGGCTCAGACCACAGACTGAAGGTGAGGCTGGTGCCTGGCCATGTTCTTCCACCCTGCAGATGCTGGGAGTCACCGGCCTCCTCTCTCTAGAGTAAGGGGGAGCAGGACCCCTCTGGGATTCAGGAACATGGGGCTCAGGAGCAGGCCACGTCCCCTACTCACCACTTTGGGCTTGAAGGGCGGCTGGATCTCCCTGTTCTCCAGCTTCTCCCAGTCGATCCTTCGGAAGAAGGCATGTTCCCGCACGTCTCTCTCCCCCTCCGGCCCGCAACCCAGCCGCTTGCCTGGGTGTTTGGTCATCAGCTAGAGAGCAGCAGAAAGAGGGTACAATGTGTGATGTGGGGACCAGAGGTGACGACATGGTATCGTATAACTGAAATGTGCTGAGAGAGTAGAACATCAGTGTTCTCCCCCCAAAAGACAAAAAGGTAACTGTGTGAGGTGCCGGACGTGTCTACTCGATTGTGGGACTCTTCCACAATGTAATTCGTGTCCAACCATCACGTGGCACATTTTAAACACATTGCAATTTCATTTGTCAATTATACCTCAATAAAGAGGAAAAAAGACCCTCCCTCCCCCGCCGCACACACTAAAAATAGGAGAAAAAGAGAATGCTGGGTGGTAGTTCCGCACCTTTGCTACTTCTGCTAGGAGCCCTGACTGCACGGATGCCTGGGGGAGCACCCCGAGAAATCAGTGGCTTGCACAGAGTGACCCCAACTCACAAATACAGTGCTGACTGTATGGGTCCTTTTTTTTTTTTTTTTTAAGATTTTATTTATTTATTTGACAGAGACAGAGACAGCGAGAGCAGGAACACAAGCAGGGGGAGTGGGAGAGGGAGAAGCAGACTCCCCACTGAGCCGGGAGCCCGATGCGGGACTCGATCCCAGGACCCTGGGATCATGACCTGAGCCAAAGGCAGTCGCTTAACCGACTGAGCCACCCAGGTGCCCCTATTTTTTAATTTTTTAAAAAAGATTTTATTTGAGAGAGTACATGTGCATGCGCATGGGGTGGGGTAGGGGGGCTTCATCCCAGAACCCCGAGATCAAGACCTGAACCAAAGGCAGTCGCTTAACCAACTGAGCCACCCAGGTGCCCAGTATGGGTCTTTTTGTAGCGGTTTTTATGATAAAGGACACAGGCAAGCAATCTGGCCCCAGAGCCAAACCTAAGAATTTAATCAGCAGTCTTCCTACACTGTGTTAGAGCAGCAACTCTGTAGGTCTACAAAAAATATGTATGTGGAAAGGTAGGCAATCACTAAAACTTGTATGTGTATCTCCTGTGATGCTAATCACAAGCATCATATGCCTATTTATTGCCCGGACCAAAATGTATTAATCAAAAGACATATGGGTTGGAAAAATAAATGTCGTGGCCAGCAGGTGACTAGTTGATTCCCATGTGTCTACTGCGGGAGACAGAGGCGAACACAGGAGGGCCCCGCTCTCCCTATTTATGTATGTAAACAGTGCGTTGCCCTTGGAAGACACCTGATAAGCACATCCCACATGATCAAACTCGCCAGAAAACGTTAGGAGTGTCTTACACTCCGTCCCACTGGGTCTGACGATAATTTTGTGGCCTAAAGCTTCACGATTAAAAAACTAACCAGGTCAGGACCCGGTCATTTCTATTCCTTGGTATCTCCTCCATAGAAATGAGCTCATATGTTCCCCAAAACACACAACCTGGAAGTTTCAGGGCAGTTCTATTTGGAACAGCCCCAAACCAAAGTGGAAACAACCCAAAGGCCCACCAGCAGTAGCATGAATCAATAAACTCTGGTGTGATCACACGGTGGAATGCTACGTGGGCGGATGGAAGACGGAAGTGCACATGCATGCGCCCGCGCACGCACACACACACACACACACACGCACGCACACGGATATGGAGAAATGCCGCGATCACCATGTTGGGTGAAAGAAGCCAGGCCCAGGGAGCATCCGCCACAAGACTGCGTTTGTGCCAAGTTCAAAACAGACCAGGCCAATCCCTGCAGTTACGAGCAGGGACGCTGCTTATCCTAAGGGGTGGGGAGTCGCTGTGGGACAGGAAGGGAGGGGGCGTCTAGGGTGTCGGAAACCTTCCCTTTCATGACCTGGGTGCATTTGTTTTGTGAAAATTCACTGATCTACAACACTGACGACTCGTGCCCATTTCCGCATGCACATTCTACCTCAAAAGAAGAGAACTGAATGAAGAATGACCCAAGGCCCACCAAGTCAGGCGAGGGAAGAGGCTGAATATTTTCCGAGGGCCCGCGGTTATTTCTGGTAACTCATGGCAGTTTCATGAGGGGGATGAGAAACTAAAGCACAGTGCCATTAGCTGCCTGGGCCAGAGTTCCAGGCAGTTTGGGGATCAGAAGCCCTTCTCTGGGCCGCCATGTTTCCTACGATGCCCTGCATGTCACTGAGCTGTAGCCCTTGATGGCTGGAAGCAGTGGCGTGGGTTTGCGGGTTCTCCGCCAACCTCTCTCAAAAGTGTGGGCAAGAGATTTCGTTGACCCTCTCGGTCCGTGGTTCTAAAAGGAATGCAGGTCTACTTACTCCTTTGCAGATGGAAACGGCCTCCTTGGACAAGGATTTGGGATAAGAAACGTTATGCTCCATTATGGACTGAAACAGCTCGTCTTCATCTTCGCCATCAAAGGGAGGCTGTTCAGGAAAACAGAGACACGGGAACACAGGCAGGGTGATTCATGAGTGTGGCACCTGGAGACCCATGTCAGCACCAAGACACACTCTGGGCTTCTGGGCGCACCACCGGCTGCAGAGTTAGCTCAGTGAAGTTGCTGGTTTATTTATCTTTCATTAGGTTGGTGGTTGTGTGTTTTTCACTTTTTCCTCTGTCTCTTTAATTATCCTGCCCTGGGCAACCCAAAACAATCTTTAGGGAAAATGTTTTTGAGTAATGGTTTTAATGCTTTGCAAATAAATTATAATTAATCCATTAATTTTGTAATTATGTGTTAAAAAATTTAATTATGATCAAGTTAGCTTACAGATGGCTCTGTGTGCAGGGGTGAGGGGAAGTGGAGAATGCTTGTGCCTTTGGATTCTGAGCATGGGGCGTTGGGGCCACCGGACATGGGCTAAAAGGACGTGCCCAGGTCCAGAAATCCACACCTGGGCCCTTCTGACCCACCAGGGAGCTGCTCTGTAGAGAGCCTGGCACGTGCATGGTGCCAGTGATGGGAGCTTAGCCTCCACTAGACCCTCCCCTCTCCTCTTCTGCTGGGCTTACACTGCCCACAGTGAGAGCGGGAGGCATGGCAGTGCTGTGGGCGGTCATGGTTCAAAGTCCGGCGGATCTGGACCAGAATTCTAGCTCCACCACCTCCTAGCTGGGTGTCCACATGCAAGCGACCTCTCTCTTTAAGATACAGTTATCCAATTTGTAAAATGGGGTTCCCTGGCGAGTCTGCAAAACACCTGCCGAAGGGTGCCTGCTGAAGGGTGCCTAGTGGTACTGGTATTTTATTAAGGCAGATGAACTGTCTTAGAAGGGGCTGCTAGACTCCTCGGGAGGAACGGGTGAGCTCAGGACGTCCCTCAAGCTTTCTCCTCCAGCATGTCTTTAATCCTGAGAGGTCTGGCAAATTACTTGTCACTCTGGAGGGGCAGTGCACAGGATCAGTGGGTTTATGGGAAATTTCTTAATGTTCCCTTTAGGCTTAGCTAACCTTGGGTTCAGCATAAGAAAGGCAGAGCGGGGTCGGCTATCACAGATGAGAGAATCTCCGTATGTTTCATCTCGGTGCATTTTCCTTCTCTGACTAACGTGGTTAGGGCTCCGAAAATGCAAAGTCCAGCTTAAATGTAAACTCTATCATGGACCAAAGACAGCTGTGCCATGGTCAACAGGATACCCCTTCTCATCAAACATCTCCCTCCGAGTAAGAGACAGTAATGGACCCAAGCAGACTGCTCCCCCCGAAGCGCCACTCAGATCATTCCAACCTGCTCATCTGACCCCCCAACCTTAGTCCTCCCCTACCCCCCGCCCTGAATAGGAGCTGGGTGTTGGGTCAGCCCATGGGAACTACACCTACTCAAGGGAAAGATACTAAGTCTATAAAAAACCCTACCTTGGGACCAGGTCTGGGAGAATGGGGGGGGGGTTGGGATTGATGCCATTGTTGTTGTTGGTTTTATTTTTATTATTTTTGGGTCTAGAAATATAAATAAACAGGTCTCTTTTTCGATTCTAAGTACCTGGTGTAAAGAATATTTAATTTCGTCAAAGCATGCAGGTGGGTGAGGAGAACTAAAATCAGCCCACCTATGGGGTGCCTGGCGGACAGAGTTGGTTAAGCATCTGACTCTTGGTTTCGGCGCAGGTCCCGATCTCGGTGTTGTGAGATCGAGCCCTGCCTTGGACTCTATGCTCAGCGCAGAGTCTGCTTGAGAGGCTCCCTCTCCCTCTGCCCCTCCCGCACATGCTCTTTCTCTAAAATAAATAAATCTTAAAAAAAAAAAAAAAATTACCCTGCCTGTGAATGAGTCCGAGCAGAGCCTGAACAGCCCACCATGGTGAGTCTCCCTGAGCAGGAATAACGTGGCACCTGGGATGCCTACGGGCAAGTAAGCTGGGCACAGACAGAGCAGGCCGGCCCAAGACTGGCCAAGAACTACAGTGGAGGCCAGTCCTGCGGTCCATCCCACCATTCCTTCTCTGCCTGACGTCATGCAACCTACTTCTTCTGGACACCTATGGTATAATACCCACAAAACATCCCATTTTCCCTGATAAGTGATCCACATATGTGGCTGAGCTCTGGCCAAGGAGATCTTTATAACTAAAGCAAACATGGCAGGGTCTCTGCTCCGGGCTGTGAACTGCACATCTCCGGGGGGCCCCACACTCTGAATTTCCTGTGTTCATACTCTACAATGTCATGGTGCTCTGGATGCAAGCAGGGTATGGGTACTCCTCCTGGATGACCAATCGACACCTCTCAGTGTGGCCCCTCAGAGTCGCTGGTCAAGAGAAACTACGTACCAGCAGAGCATCAAACCAGACGCGAAGGGTTCCTAAAGCTTGGGCCCCCTAGGTAGACAGAGGCAGCAGGGGGAGTCAGCGGGGCTCTCTGGTGGTGCTCAAGCACTAGCAGCAGGAATGTTAAAGGGGCTGAGTCATGGATCATCCCAGCCAAAGGCTTAAGGGCAATTTTCTCCAAAGAGAAACTCAGACAAATCGTCCCCAGGAATCCTTGTCAGGCGAGGCAGCAAGAACCTTTGCATTTGAAGACGGTTAGGTCAATGCAGATGCTTCCCCCCAACCCCCACCCCCACCCCCGCTGATGCGGAAAAAGGAATTTGGGGGGGGGAATACTGTGTAGGGCACTGGCCTATCACACCTGTTTAATTGTCTCCTGGCATGGGAACCACCTTGGCCCAGGTGAGCTGTGCCTATTCCTGATCCAGGAAGCAGTTGACCATGAAGTCCCCAATGTGTTCCCACTGAGAGCAGGACACCTGGCTCCTGACACACCCCAGAGAGCATTCCTTAGAACTAGGGGATATTAATCCTACAGGATACTCCTGGGTCAAAGTTTGCACCCTTTCCCCCCTCTTTCTGGGATCTGCAGTAACATTTACATTTAGGTTCTAAGAAGTCCTGCCATAAAGAGAGCTATCTAATCCCGTGGGAATCATACAGGCTGGGGATGGAAGGATTCTCTGAGGCCCCTTGGGCTCACCTGTTGCGGTAAGATTCCTAAGCTATGGCAAAAGCCACAGGACCACGTGTCCTTGTGGCAGCGCCCTGGGCTTCCACCCCATATTCCGTCGCTGTGTGGCCCCGAGGACTGGGGCGTCTCCTGGCAATCCCAGGGAGGACACGTGCCTCTACCCCTGACGTTGTTATCGCCCATTGGAGTCTACACTGCCTGATGAAGGGTGGCCAGTGTTTGGGAGCGAACAGCAGTGAGGACGGCTGCAGCTGCAGTAACGCATGCTTTTCAGGCTCTAGCTATGTGCCAGGTAGAGTGCTTTTCCCAGCATCGCTCACTCAATCCTCAAAACCGCCATCTGACCGCCATAGTACATACTGGGGATCTCACTTCACAGTTGAGCTCATTGAGGTTCTATTATTAAGTGCTTTGGGCAGGGTTACAGAGCTGGGATGTGCAAGAACCAAGATTCAAGCCCAGACATCTGACTGCGGAGCTTGGGCTCTGGGCCATTCTGAGCGCTGTCAATCTCTCACACTTGCTCCGGCAGGTGGCTGGGGGAGGACGGTCCCCCCAGCGCTGCTGCTGGGAGGGCTGAGTGGGAGGTCCACCCACACCTAAAGACGGCTCGACTGGGGCAGTGGTGGGGAGGGAGTATGTGGGGAGGCCATTCTGGTATCCGGCACAATGAGTAGTGGGGTTCTGGAAAGACCAGAGATGTTTCAAGTCATTGTGTAAAGGGACTGTCTCTAGACTAGAGAACTGGCGTGACTTCCCAGCCCTGATTTTGACTGCTTATCTCTTGCTTATGCGACACATCCACTGTCAGTCAGCAGAAGTCACCAAGGACCCCTGCTGATGGTGCAGCTGCCATCTTGGTCTGGCTGCGGGGGACCCGGAAGAGGCGCTCTGGGGGCGTCCTGCTCCAGGAGCATGTCCACTCAGATCTCGCTGGTCAGAATGAGTCACAGGCTCTACCCAACCACGAGCGAGCTGGGAGGTACAATCCCACCACGTGCCAGAAGAGAGGAAGCCCCCAAAGACCTGGTGAGCAGCAATAATGATCATCAGACTCGGGAAAGCTCCCCGGAGCCCTCTGTGAAATTAAAATCATGTGTTCTTGGGGGGAAAGTTGCATCCACATTCCCTTCACCTCACCACAAACACTGCTCTTATTTTTCTGTGAACTCTTGTATTACTTTCAAATAAGGATGCATAATTTGGAGTTTCTTGTTTTTCTCCGTGGCTACTGGTATTCCCAGGCAGATGAACCCTGCGGAGCTGACGCCTCATCCATCCGAGATGGGCTCATTTGTCTGGGGCTGCGCTCTGATAACTAAGGCTACGATAAACATCTCTGGGCAAGTCATTTTTCTCTTCTCCGGATTACTTCCTAAGAAAAATTTCCCAGGTGTGGGCTTATGCAGCCGAAGGATGTGAGCATTTTTATGGCTGTCGTTAAGTCTCTCCAGGTCACCCTGGGAGCATTTTTACAGGTAATTGCTGCTCAGGCCTTGGTGCTGAAGGCAGGTCAAGGGTGAAATTATAATTATATTAATTTTCCTTCCCAGTCAGCTACTGAGCCTGGGGACAATAGAGGCAATGTATTGCTGAGGAGTAAGTGCATGACCATTTTGGATTTGCTCCTCTCCCCTCTTTCCCACATTCCCATGATTATTTTTAAATTTCTACAAATCTGAGCTCAGTGTCTCCAGCTAAGCTGCGTGTTAAATACAGTCTAGGCTGGGTGTAAAAATGTTCCGAGCCCGGGGTGTTCTCCTTAGCAATATGCAATTTGTGAATTTTAGACAGACAAATGAGGGCTGATGGTTCCCTCTTTCTAAAATGATTCCAAAGTCACTTACTGGTTCATGGATGCGGGGGCCCTGCCATGTGTGTCTGCAGATCGCTGGTGATCAGCGGTAGGGGTGTGGGGGTGTGGGGAGGACACCCAAGGACAGTTCGGGTGAAAGTGCTGGGAGAAAGTACCCATTGCCGATGCATCAGGAACGAAGACAAAGCACAGATAACCCTGGCAGAAGGCGACATAAAGAAGAGAGGACTGGTCCCTTTATGATGAAGACCCGTGAACGCTTAGAGCTGCAATACGCGCATTAGAGTGCTGGGTAAATACTGTTTATGCCCCAAAGTAATCATATCTGTCAAGCAGTCTGGGACCTGAAGAAAGACTCAGGCTGTTTATACTTAACTGCCCCCTTGACTGCTGACAGTAAATATACCCAATGAGAAGAAAACTGCAATAAGCTACCTTTTCTGCTCATCGTCAGCCCTCTGTGATTAAAGAGGACAAATTTAGACCATAACCCTATCAACAGCTTTATAATTAATCTTACTTTTCCAATAAGAGCATCTATTCCCTCCGCTGGGTCTGGAGGCTGTTGCAGCTTTGGGGGGCTCCGGGTACCGGGCTCAGAGCCTTTATTATCCTTTCTGGGCTGACTCACCGCCCAGAAATACATTGAAATTTGCATTGAGTCACAGGGAAGACGAAGACATGGGTCCCAAAATGAAAACGCTGTGTTGGAGGCAGGCACAGTTGAGGATTTAGAGGAACAATGACTGAGCCCGCCACGGTGCCCTAATGTGGGACGCCTTTAAGATGTCACATTTAAAGAGTGTCACCATTTTCAACAGAGATCATTAAAACTGGAAGGGATCCTATGGGGCAGGCTAATGGAGTCCGAGAAGCAGGATGGGAATGGAAATGTGCCAGAACGCTTATGGAAGCACTGGGCGTGGGGAGGGCATCTGCAGGTGGGGGTCTCAGGGACAATGGGCAAGTGAGGCAGAATTTTTAAAATGCACCCAAAGGGGACTTCCCTGCAGGAGGGCAGCATTTCCTGAGCTCTCCTCTAGGGAATGAAGTCCCCGGGCTTAGGGAGGAAGGAGGATGGGGGCAGGAGTGCGGTGTGTTGTGGTGGTGGGCGGGGGGCACGGGACTTCTGAGATCCTAGTCTCCTGCTCGCCAATGAAGAATCAGCTCATCCGATCTCTTGTAAAGTGCCCTTGGAAACAGATCCTATTTTCCACGCAACCGATTTCTTTGGTTGGCATATGCAAATGTGACTCAGTGAAAACAGGGTTTGTTTCTGGACTCAAGAGTCAGAACATGCAAGTGGGATCAAGAAGAAGAACTCAGCTTTCTGTGCCTTCGTGAATAGCATGGCTCCCAGGGGGCCAACAATTTAGTCAAATTTTATTGTTAAAATTCTAAAGAGGGGAAATTAACTCAAGGGGCAGGCAACTCACTATTGTCTCACTGACATTGGTTCTGGATGACCTGCTTTTCCGTGCTTACAAGCCGGCGTATTTAGCCTGAGATGAACATTTTACTGGGGTTAAAAACCTAAATTAATAATCACAAACCATTTTACTATCAATCAAGGCCTAACCACACTTCTCAGTTAATGACCGAATGTAGGCTAGGACCCTGTGTCTTTTAATCTCTAAGAGACTACTTTAGTATCTAAAAGATGTAAGGCAATGAAAAACATAAAGGAGAACTCCCCAGTGGCCTTCCACTCCAGAGGGAAAGCCAAGGGTCTGTGATGACTTCCATACTCACAAGACCTGGGGCTCCCCTTTCCTCTCTGATCTCTAACCCATTCTGCTCTGGCCAGACTGGTGGCTTCCCACCCCTTTCTTAAACATGGCCATACACTTCCACCCCAGGGCCTTTGCACTTGCTGTTTCCACTGCCCAGAATGCTTTCACCCCACATAACACCTAGCATTCTCTAACTATTTGCTCATCTTCACTTCAGCTCTACATGAGACCCTCCCTGGCCATCCTCGCTCCAATTTCAACCTTCCTCCAGCACTGTATTTTCTTTCCTGCTTTATTACTTTTTCTCTTAGCTTATCACTAGTCCGTATTTTCTTTATTTAACTCATCTACTGTCTCTCTCTCTCTCTAGCTTATAGGCCTCATGAAGGTGAGGGTTTTTGTCTGTTTTGTTTACGGTGAACACCATGCAGAGAGTAAGCCTTAAACAAGTATTATGTTGAATGAATAAATGAAGGAGTTGATGAATGTCATATGTCAGAAAGGGTGACTTTCCCCCCCCAGGGACAAAGACTCAAAGATTTCCTTAGGGGGTAGCTCAGCTGCTCAGTGTGGGTATTTCTTTCCACCTTCTCTTACTAAAGCTTTTCGCTATGGAGGACCCAACTCCTTGACAACAGTACTCAACTGCTGGGAATTCTAAAAAGCCGCCCACAACAGAGTTATTTTTAGGTAAAATGGCAGAGATCTGGTAGACATTCACCCAACCTGCTTCCCCTTCTGAGCTCATAGGTACACCATATTTCCCCCCACCCCCTGATCCTTCGCATCCTAGTGGGGCCACGTGGCCAGTGGGCTGTAGGAAGGGGTGATGTATGCCACCTCTAGGCCTGGCCTCTAAAACATCCTGTGCAACCTCCCTTCTGCTCTCTTCATCGGCCAGTTGAGTAAGGAGGGTTCGCTAAAGGAATCTGAGGCTCTAAAAGATTGTAGGGACAATGGACAAAAGAAACCTGCCCTTGAATGACCCTGTGGATCAGTACCCCCTGCCTGCTGCCCCCCCCCCCCCGCCCTCCACAGGGCTATGCCAAGAATGGAAAATAAACTCGTGTGGTGTGTTAAACCACTGAGGTTTTGGGGGCTTGCTTGTTAAAGCAACAAGTGTGATTTGCCCCAACGCTATGGATATTAAGGCCGTATATTAAAAAAGTGCAGGCTTCGGCATCATTCCCCTGCTTATCTGATGTATGTTGCATTCCTCAGAGAAACCTAATCTGTCTTTTTGTAACTGGAGGTTCAGCCTCGTTGGACTTTTGTGAAAATTGCAATGAACTGCCAAGGGTGAGATAAGGAGAGATGGGGAGAAGCTATTAAAGCATTTCTTCAAGTTTCACTGTCTTCTTCCTTTGCTAATAATACCGATTCTACACCCGGGCAGCAGCTAGGTAATCTGTGCAGACAAACTTGCAAGGAACCATAATGCAACCACAGCTTTGAGACACTGAAAACCTACAGAGGCCACTGTTGTCCTCAACATGCAGGGACTTTCATGTTTAATATGAAAGCTATGTCGGTGATGCTCCAGGTGTCAGCTCTCAGTTTGGGGCTTTTATAACCAGAGATAATTGCTGTGCCTGTTGAATATAATCCACTTTCAAGGGCGGGGGGGATTTCTCCCTCTTTCACCGGGGTCAGGGAAGTCAGACCAGCATCAGCAGCTGGGTCCCACTATCCTGGCCCAAACAGAGCTGTGGTATTCACTTTATCCAGCAATAAACAAGTACAAAAATGTACATTACCTGCCCGGCTAGCATTTCATATAATAGGACGCCATAGGCCCACCAGTCCACGGATTTTCCATATGGCTGATATGCGATTATCTGTGTGAAAACACATACATCAATTACATTTAGTGGCGAATCAAAAAGCCCATGTTAGAACAGACAAGTCAAGTGTGTAGGCTTTTCTGCACTGAGGGGAGAGGGCCCCGCAAATCCCACACATGGGGAACCACCTCCCCATGACTCGCTGCCCAAAACCTGCTTGGGGTCTGCTCCTCTGAATCCACCTGGAGATGCCACAGGGCAGATTTAATTATCCTCGATGGTGAAAAATATTTGGACATTGAGGTGGATTTCATTTTGGAAAAAGCCAGGGGTCCTTCAGACCATGGGTCTGATAAACAAGATAATCAAACTATGTAACAGAATTTTGCTGAAAGCAGCAAAGATGATGATGGAGGTAACGTATCTGCTGAAGTTTCAGAACATTTGAAAGAGACATCATTTTATCAAATGTCATATTTGAGCCTTGTCTGAATCTTGACTCAAACCAAACCAACTCTAAAACAGAAATCAGGAACAACCAAAATGTGGTCTCGATAAGAGATTACCCTTAATTTTGTGAGGTGGGAAAATGGTATGGTGATTCGTTTAAAAGTGTACGGTGAGTGTATTAATGAGTGAAATGCACAAGAGATGAAGAATTTACAGGTGAAGTGGCATGACATCTTAGACTTGTTTTAAATACCTGAGCAAACTAGGAAGGGATCGGAACAGTTGGCAAAATGCAGGGAGCTGGTGAAGCTGGGTGACGGCCCACGGAGACCCCGACTGCTCCCTCTATCTTTGTGGCTCCCAGAAGTACTAGAATAATTCTACGACCTGCCCTCGTGGAAGAGGGTAATACTGATTGGAATTTCTAAGCACGGCACGGGTTATTAAAACACTGGTGTTGTCTAAAGCACACGATCCCCCGACCCACAGATCATGCCCCAGGATCCGAGGCGAAGACATCCGGACAGGTGCTCACCATGACCATTCTGACATTTTGCATATACACATGTGATTTGGAAATGTTCTAGGGTATTTTTTAATGGCCCACGATGTCTAATGGAATGTCCTGGGACACAAACAAACCTGCATGTCTCTGCCTCTCCATTTCTTTAATGTATTACTAATATTTCTCCTTGTAGCATGAGAAATACAAGCTCCCTGTCGCTTACCTCGGTGTGGGTGGCAACAAGAGGGCACACATTTGGATCTGGCAGCTTTATTGCTCATTTTCTTGACAAGGAAATGACAACCAAAGGAAGCTACAAGGAGGACTTCCTTTCTTTTTAAAACTACATTTGTTCGGGTGCCTGGGTGGCTCAGATGGTTGAGCGTCTGCCTTCAGCTCAGGTCATGATCCCAGCGTCCTGGGATCGAGGCCCACATCGGGCTCCCTGCTCCTTGGGAGCCTGCTTCTCCCTCTGCCTCTCTCTCTCTCTCTCTGTGTCTCTCATGAATAAATAAATAATATCTTAAAAAAAAAAAAACAAAAAACAAAAAACTACATTTGTTCTTCTTTGAAAACTTGGAAAATGCACACATACACAGAACAAAAAACCCTATCAGAATGAGCCTCTATGTGTTACTTGATGATGTAAAATGAGGCTTGGCATTCTGGTTCCAAGACAGCAAGTGACTGGATCAAAGCTTGTCTTAACCAAGTAGAACAACAACAGAAATTCTCTTTGGGAGAGTAAGAAAGTACACCTGCTATGTACCTACTATATGTCCAATGTGCTGAGCACATTCCGCAGAATCCAGTGCGGGAGAACTAATTATTCTTCCCATTTTATACGTGGGAAAGCTGACGTAGCAAGACGTTTCAGAGACCCATCCAGAGCCAATCAGCTCATAAGTGGTGCTCTGGATATTGACATTTCTGTTTTAAAAACACAGTTTATGGCTGTCAAATATATGTAATCACTCATACTGAGATTAATAAAATATTAATCGAAGGGCTTCGAGGATTAAAGAGGTTTAAAACCACCATTTCAGTTGTTGTAGCTGTATTTCAAAAGCACCTGAATAACATTTTTTCTTGTAACTATATTAAAACCAGTCCCGGCAATCTATTTTCATTAGTCGGTGTTTTAGTGTACTCCGTTTTTAATGCAGGTGGAGCTCGGGCACCGTGTTGCTGTGGGAAATATCAGGCTGGGGAACTGAGGGGGCTGAACGAGGGAGGTCACACTGTATTTTGTATCCTATATTCTGCAAGGATCTGAGTAATCTTACCAATCAGACTCCTCTCCTTGGGTGGTATGAAACGCCACTCGAGTTTGGAAAGCCATCAGAGGTCAAGGGTAGGGAAACCCTGTCTCTGGTCAGAATGATTCACAAATCCCAAAAGCCATGGCCACCTGAAGACTTTTTTTTTTTCTTCTTGACTCTTTTATCAACTTTGGTCCAAGTTGACTTTTATTTTCTATTTGCACAGCATCAAACTCTCATGACTCCTGCTGATAACACGCTCTCCTTCCTCCAAGGCTTACCAAAGGAGAATGCCAAGTACCAATGGCTCCTTTTTCTTGTCGCTAGCATCTGGCAATCCCCCGAGCCGACCAGCTCAGCTACTGGGCCGAGATGACAAAGTCATGCTGAACACTGCTGTGCTTTCAATGGTAATAACAGGATGGGACTTGAAATTCAGCTGGGGCATTTCTTCTTGGAGAAGCTCACAATGTGTCACCCCTGCCTTATGCGCTCCATGAAATGGGGAGGTCCGAAGATCTAAGTTACAAGGTCTAGGGGTGCAACCTTACCATTGCAAATTCATTTTTAGAATGAAGCATTGCTTTCCCCTCAATGATGAGCTGCTATTAATAAATACCTCCAATGATCCAAAAATCTCACTGCAAAAGGCGAACTGTTAGAGAGCCCCATTTGAAGATAAACATTTAGATACACATGATTTGGGATGTTGGTTACGCTGTCCCTTGTGAGCTGTCTGGACCTGCCCTGGGTAGTACAGTAGCCACCAGCCCCATGTGGCCACTGAGCATTTGAAAAGTGGCTAGAACAAACCGAGATGTGCTTTAGGTGGGAAATACACATCAGATTCTGAAGACTTAGTACCCCAACCGCAAAATATCTCATTCATATTTTGGATATACTGGGTTAAATAAAATATATTAAGCTTAATTTTACCTTTTTTTTTTTTTTTTAAACTTTTAAACATGTGGTTGCTCAGTAGAGCACAGGACTCTTGATCTTGGGGTCGTGAGTTCGAGCCCCACGTTGGGTGTAGAGATTCCCTAAATCAATCAATCTTTGGGGGAAAAAACCCCACACATACACAACAATGGGGCTGCTAAATGCAGTCTGGCCTGCATTTTCTTTCTACTGGACGGGGCTGGTCTACACCCTTTTCACGGGCTCCTACAACTCACTCTGGTTCCTGTTGGCCCAGGGAGCCAGCTTTGGGCCGAGGACGAGGCTCAGAGGCCGCAGAATGAGTGGTGAGGCTCTCTTGTTTCTGTCCCCCTGGGGACAGGAACAGGTGTTTCTGGGACTCGTGGGCCAACGGAGGCTTGCAGCCAAGCCCAGGGGGTTGCAATGGCAATTCGGTCTCCCACAGCAGAGAACCTCACAAAAGAGAGGCAAACTTGGCAAGAAGGGCTCCAGTTGGCAGATCTCCCTGCACACATGGGAGGTTGAACTTTAGCTTCAAAGACAGACCCCCAACAGGGCCACTGTCATTCAGCTTTCCTGCTATTTGTCATTATGATCATTATGATTATACTCACATGAGCCAACTGCTTGGGGGAGATGTCAGGATGTTTCAAATGGCTGCCTGTCTTGTAAAAGTAAGATATGACTGAGCTTTCTCCCAGCCTGGGCACAGGACCAGGAATGAAAGGGACCAGGGGGCAGCTTCTCATCTCCTAGCAGGTCAGCGGCCACAGTGACTGGAAGGACACTGCTCCGAAGCCACCCGCCTTTCCACCCTCTGCCAGGGCTACATACTCAAAGGCCCGCCAAAGAGGACGGGGCTTCAGAAGCCTTTTGGGGGGCAGCATGGTAAGGTTTTAGATGCTACCGGCAATAGCAACAGTGACTATAAGCAACGTCACCATCGCAGCACTCTCACTATGTGCCAGGCTCCTTAGCTCTGCTAGCTCGCTTAGCCCTTGGGAGACTTTGATGAGGTAGGAGCGCCCCATTTCAAAGATGAGGAAATGAGACACAGAGAGGTTAAGTAGCTTGCCCGAGGTCACACAGCGAGTAAGTAGCAACGCTGGGATTTGAACTCTGGTCATCTGGACTTGGTATCCACACTTTTGACCATTTTTCTAAACCAAAGGTTCGTCGGCCCATGACCCAGTGTGGTTCCCTAGACAGCTATGGTGGGAACTGGCCCCCAAAGGGGCTCAAATGCTTAACAGGCTTAAAGCTGCCAAGACAGCCACTTCACTCAGGAACTCTGGCTCTGGAGGCTTTGTCTTAAAGGGCCCAGGGGAACGCGACATATGTGGGAGGAGACTCACCCTCCCATTCCTGGCTGTACCTTAACTGGACTCCACTCTTCATTTTCACGTGACGTTTACTAGCCAAATCCCCAGAACCCCCCCTAATACTTGGCCCGACAACAGAAGGCTCTTCCCAGGCTGCCGTTACAAATGAACACTGGCCTTTATGCATAAAACATGCTCGAGTTCTTTTACTGTCTCAGGGAAACAACATTTTCTCTTCCTTTGATCAAAGATAAAACTATTTTACTTTAACGAAAAATGGTTGTTTTGAAAAACATCCTAAGTACCCAACAATAGAACATGGGCCACAAGAGGCCTTCTTTATATGCATGGTCAAGAACACTGACATGTCAATACAGTACCATTTGGGAAAAAAGAAGACGAGCTGCCGTGCCGTCTGCATGTTCTGTCATGACGGCTGGGGCCGTGAGTTCGAGAACTGTCTCCTCCACTCTCTCCTCTGGGGCTGACAGAGCTCAGCTGCCACGCAGCGGCCTTTGCCTCGTCAGGCTAAGACTGCTTATCTGCCCTCCCTCGACCCCAGACTCTTCCCCAGCAGGGCCGGGCCACCCTCCT